GCACTGGGGCGGAGGGGGGGGGGGGGGCAGCTGGCTCAGGCCCTCCCAGCTTCCTCTCAGGCACAGACCCTCAGCCCTGGGCGGCCACCTGGTGCCCAGGCCCGTCTCAGGCCTTTGCCCACAGACGGGGCTGGGCCCGGGTCCCCGCGGGTGCTGGGATGGGTGCGCGAGTGTGCGAGCTGCATCTGACCAGGGCGCGCCACACGCCAACACTCAGCTTCATTGTTCAAGGTTTCCTTTGCAAAATGCCATCTCCGCCCGCATTAAGAAGACGGGCGAGTTTGTAATTCTGCTCTTGATCTCTCAGGGGAAAAACGTGATTCCGGTTCTGGCGGAGAAGGGGCCGTCGCAGGCAGGCGGGAAGTGCGCGGTGCCCGGGGGCCCCAGTGCTGGGGCGTTTTCTGCTTTGGGGCTGAGGCGGTGAAGAGCTGGGCGCAGTCACCAGGCCTGGGAGCCGAGGACTTTTCGAGCAACTTTTAACAACCCCCAGATGCAAAGCACCGATTCTGAGTGCTAATCGCTTTTTCTTTTTTCTTCTAGTTGGACTTTTTTTTGGTTGAACTTTTTGTTTTGAGATAATTCAAAGAAATTATGTAAGAAATAGCACATCTGTTTCCTCCTGCGGGTAATGTGTCACGCGCTCGTGGGGCCGGGCGGGTGGCGATGCCATCGGGTGTGGACACGGGACGTTCTGTCGCCCCCAGGGCCCCTCCTGCTGTCTCTGAAAAACACTTTATTGATTTATTTCCAATTGTGATCAAAACATACGACACGTAGGATCTGCCACCTTGACCGTCTGCGGGTGCGGAGCCTCGCAGCCCCGAGCACACGCGGGGCTGCGCAGCGGTCGCCGGCCCGTCTCCGGGACTGTCTTCGGCTTCCCACACTGGAACCCTGTCCCCGTGAGACAGCAGCTTCCATTCGCTCTCCGGCCCCAGCCCCTGGCAGCCGCCGTCCTGCCCTCCGTCTCTGTGGGCTCAACAGCCAGAGTCGCCTTTGTAACTCTGCTCTCTCTGTAGTTCAGGGACCGGACACGAGAGGAATCACACAGCTCGCGTCTTTCTGTGTCCACCTTGCTCCGCTTAGCCTCAGGTCCTCAAGGTCCACCCATATCCTATCAGGGGCGAGCGCTTCCTGCCTTTCTAGGGTGGAGCATATTTTGTTTATCCATCCACCCAGGCGGCTGTGAGGTCGGGGCTGTGAGCACAGGTGCCAGCTGTGGAGGCGGCCCCTGGGGCTGGAGTTGGATCTGATTTCATTTCTGAATTCCAAAGTCCAGGGCTGAGGGGTGGGGCGTGGGATAGAGGGGACGCGGGGTGGAGGCAGATGGAATGTCCAGCTCTCTGGTAAGAGCTCATCGAGGCGGTCACGGTCCCTAGGGCCTGACCCGGTGGCTTGGTCTTTACCAGCTGTGAGTGTGACAGCTCTGGATCAGCCTTTTCTTATCAAAGAAAACATGCTGTTTCAAAATTCCACAGAAAGCAGAAGGGAAGGCAGAAAGCAGAAGCCAGAGCCGGGGAGACGCCCGTCGCCCCCACCCAGCGCCCCACCTCCGGGGGAGGACGCCTGCCTGGCCTCCAGGACACACAGAAGCGGGGGGCGCAGGCAGGCACGAGTTTCCTCTTGAGCTTCTGTCTCTTTTCAAGTCTTTTGGCCTCCCTGTCTTCCTGGCTGTGGCTGTCCCAGGCCAGCCCACCAGAGTCACGCTCCAGCGTGATCACACTGCCAGGACATCTCCGGGGACCTCGCCTGAGTCCCCCTGCAGCCAGTCTGCTGGGGACACGCCTGCCTCCGGGCGGTTAGGGTGCCGCTCATCTGGGGAGTAGGACCTGCCGTCCTGGCGAAGAGGTGTCAGACAGGAGCCCTGGGCCCCGGGGCCCTGGGGGATCAGGCCGTGCTCTGGAGTGGGTGCTGCCTGCAGCGGGGCCAGCCCACGGCGGCCGAAGCGGCCTGGAGGCACTGAGCTGTGTGTCGCGTCTGACGCAGGAGTTGCTGTGTCCTGACGGTGGCTGACGCCCAGTCGGCATGTCCTCGTCCACGTTGTCGGCCCTGACGTTGTTTACTCTGCCCGGAGAACGCCAGCTCTCGGCCGTCGGTGGCCCTCACCCACTGAGCCGTGTCCAGTGGACGGGTCCCGAGGGCCCACCACGCGCTCGGCGCTGGGGACGTGGCAGTGGGCGGGGAGGGCGCTCCGTGGCCTCGGGAGCCTGCACGTTGGAAACTGTTGGCGTTGAATCACGTCCCCCGCCCCAAGTGCACATGTCGAAGCCCTCGCCTCCAACGTAACTGCACAGGGCTTCGAGGGGGTGATCAAGGTTAAATAAAGGAGGGACCCTAACCCGACTGGACTGGCACCCATAAAAAAGAGGCACCAGAGACCTTGATGTGGACCATCATTCATTTACAAAACATGTTTACAGAACTTTTAATTTTTTTTTTTATTTTAAGTATACATAGTTAAGTTTTTCCCTTTCTTTGTTTCTTTGGGAAAAAGCCCCTTTTCCTCAAATCCAGATAATTCCCCTGGAACTGGTGACTCAGGTCCTCTGGCTGTTGATAAGGATCACCGGTCCATTGTAGCAGAAATGGCTTTAGGCCAGGTAGGGAGGGGAGGGGACCTTTAACCCAAAGGTGTTTTTTTTTCCTCTTAAGAAATACACTAACCAAGCCTGTTTTCCTTTACCTGCTTGAAAGACACGTCAATAATGGAAACACAAGTAGATAAGTGAGTTAAACAACAAGGTCATATCTTCTCTTCCTCGTCTAGGGACAGAGGTGGCGTTTCGGCAGGAAACCCAAGACCCCGTCCTGACTGAGGCAGGGAGGGAAGGAGCTCCATGAGACCCCAGAAGTCGGGGCTGCCACCCTTCCCGGCGGGAGGCAGACACAGAAGAGGAGACCTCCTGTCCCTCAACAGCCATACTAATAAGAAGGGGCTCATGGCTCTTCGAGAAAGGATAGGCAGAAAGTTAGATGGGGGTTTTGGGTCCGCCTGCAAAACGGCGAGGTCATCCTATTCCAGAAAGGGCCTGACCCCGCTCACCTACCATTAAGCCAGCCAGAAGGCATTGGGGGCTAAAAGTGACTCATACGAGAAACGAGTCCGAAGAAAATCAGGTGCTGGTTTCAGCCAGAGCCTCGCACCTGCGCAGTGAAGACCTCAGCGACCTTCACCTCACCTGAGCCTCGTTATGCCCTCATTATAAATGACGCGTATGCCCGGGGCTTCGTTAATGCCACTATAACCGACCGAACTCTGGGACCGGACACGCACAGAAAGCAAACGACGAGTAACTGGGTCCTGTCCCTCTTAGCTGTCCATCGAGGGAGTCACTCCTCTGAGAAAAGTGACCGGCCGCAGCCAGTAGGGGCAAAAGCGCAGGAGGCTTTGCCACTGGGCCCGCGGCCCGGGCTGCCCTTCCCTCCTCTGGCCACTTCCCTGTGTGCAAGTGTCCTGTTGCTTCCGTTCCCTTCCAGTAAAGCGATGCCCCCCCCGCCCCGCCCCCGCTGCGTCTTGCTCAATTCTTTGCTTGAGACAGCAAGAGCCTGGACAGTGCGTCGGGGAGGGGAACCCCACCGTCTCCGTGTGCACGCTCAGAGGAGAGGCCGTGTGAGGACGCAGCGAGCGGGGAGGTGACCGCAAGCCAAGGACAGGGGCCTCGCAGCCACCCTGCCTGCCCGGCCCTCCCAGGCGGTCCCCACCTCGGGTCCCAGCACTGCTGATTTGCGTGCTCTCTGCCCAGAATTTCGTGCACGCGCAGTCCCCCCGCGTGGCTAAGAGGCTCGTCCACGATGCTGTGTCAACAGTCCGTTCTTTGTGTGGCCGAGCTGCTTCCCGTCACAGGACTACCTTGTGATCTGTGGACCCCTTCACTCATCCCAGGGTGCCCGGGGGTTCCCGGCACTGGTCTGTTGCCGGGAAAGCGGCTGCGAGCTTCTGGAAACGAGGCTTGCCGGGGACACAGACTCTCATTTCCCTTTATCGCTCGCCCAGGAGTGGAAGTGCTGGGTCCGATGGTGGGCGTGTGCGCAGCTTCGTGACAGTTTGCGGAGCCGCTGTCCCCGGTGGCCGTGCCACTCTGCATTGCCACCGGCAGTGCTGAGATTTCGGGGGCTCCACAGCCCCGCCAGCACCCGCCATGGTCCGACCTGGTCTCAGCCACTCCGATGGCTGGGAAGCGGTGTCCCACTGTGGTCGTAACTGGCATCTTCCCGATGACAAATGACGTCGAGCGTCTTGACATGTGCCATCTGTGTATCTTCTTTGGCAAAGAGTCTGTTAAAACATTTTGGCCATTTTTTTTTTTTTTTTTAGAAAATGGGTTGTTTGTCTTCATATTAAGTAACCATAGTTTTAAAATGTGTCTTTCAGAACGAGATATATTTGCTGTGACTTTCCTCCCACGGGTTTGTCTCTTCATTTCCCGTTTTTTGCCTTCTCAGATCCCCAGCACGCTTCGAAAGCAGACGCCCGGTCGGATGACATCATCCTCATCCATCCCTGTGTCCCTTACGGTCCCTACGTTTTGGGTCCCGTCGAGGAAAACTTTGCGTCGGGTCCCACAGATTTCTCCTACGTTTTCTTCCGAAAGCTTTAGCTCTTACGTTGAGGCCTGCGGTCCCTTCGAGTCAGTTTTGCACGTGGCGGGCCCCCCGTCTATGCCGCCTGCCGGCGATTATTTGTGAAAGATGACGTTCGCGCTACGGAGTCACCTCGGCGTCGCTGACGAGACTCCGCAGACCCGACGCGGCCGGGCCTGTTTCCGGACGCTCATCCGTGTTCTCGACCGGTTGGCACGTCTGGCGCCGGCTGTGTCCTGGCCTCACGAGGCCGGGCCCTGCGTGGCGTCCTTCGCTCTCACGGTCCTTCGGGATGCTCTGAGGCCTGTTTCACATACATTTAAAAAATCACCTTGCGGATGTCGACGCACGAGCCCGCTGGATTTTTGTGGGGGATCCCGCTGATCCTAGAGATCGATGTCGGGGTGGTCGTCTCAGGGGAATGCGGTCCCCGGGGTGGGAGCTCCCGCCGCTGTCGTGTGTCCGGCCTCCCTTCGCCTCCGTCGGCAGCGTCCGTACAAAGCTCACACCCATTTTGTTAAATTTATCTCTAATCGTTCTGTTTCCGCTTTTCTAAATTTCAAACTCCCATCTTTATTGGAAGAAACGTGGGCCGCGCGCCCTGCGGCCTCGCTAAGGGAGAGCACAGGGCCCTCGCGGACCTTTCGCGGGCCTTTCGCGTGCGGGGTACCACTGTCTGCCGGGGAGGAGCCCGCTTCCTCCCGGCCGGGTCTCTGCGGGTCCGCGGCTTCTCCCGCCCTTTCCGGCGGCCGAGGCCCAGGTGGAAGCGGCAGCGGCCGGAGCCCTTCCTTGCTCCTGATGGCGAGAGAAAGCACGCAGTCTTCACCGCTCGGTGGGAGGGGGCTCGGGGTTCCCCCAGACGCCTCGGTGGATTTGGGGGGCTCCTTTCCTGTGTAGCTCCCATGTCTCTGGGACCTGGTCATTTCCGATCACCATCCTCTGACCTCCATCCTACCTGTGTTTTATATGTAAAGCGGGTTTCTTCTAGGCAGCCTACAGCTGGGTTTTGGTATTGCATCCAGAGAACCATCTCTGCGTGGCATTGGAATATTTAGACCATTCACATTTAACGTAGTTTCCTATATGGTCGGATGTGGGTCTCTCATCTTGCTAATTACTTGCTGTTCTTTGTTCCTTGGTTCGCGTTTTCCTGTCTTTTTTCTTTTTTAGTGTTTTATCCGCGCTATGGGTTTATTAGCTATGTACATCTTTGTTTTGCTTGCTATAGAGTTCATCATATGCATCTCCACGTATCACAACCCACCTCCAAATGATGGGTCCCGTTCGATACGCGACGTCAAAGAATCTTCGGCTTTACACTGTGCTGCCCTCCCCCACTCACTCTGCTGCTCTGGTCCGATTTCATTTCCACATGCAGTAAAACATCGCGAGACACCTTTGCCTTGAGCACGCTCCTGTTCCTAAACTCAGTTTTTAAAAGGACAAAGAGACGCCTCACGGTCACCCGTGCATGTCTGTCTCCTCCCGCTCCGTATTCCTGCGAGCAGCGGTGCGTTGTCGCCTGGCACGCACTGCCCTGTGCCTGAAGAAAGGGCTCGAACGTTTCATGCCGTGTGAGTCTGCTGCTGGCGAGTTACCTAAGCTTTTGTTTTCAGTCATGAAACGGACATCGTTCCCAGTCTCTATTCTGCTTTTCATTTTGGGGGGCGGTTTCGTCGTGCGTAGAATTCTAAGTGGAAAGTGTCTTCCGGCGTTTCGTGGGTGTTTCCCACTGTCCTCCTTGCCATGTCCACAAAGTGCGCACCATTGAAAAGTGGGCTCGGTGCCGCTTCCCGGGCATCAGGTCGTGCTTTTCCCGGCTGCACGTCCTTCCCGTGTGTTCTTCTCGGGGTCTGTGGATCTCCCTGGATTTGTGGGCGTACGGCTTTTTTTCAGATTGAGAGAAATTTCACCTATTATTTCTTCGACTATTTTTTCCGTTCTTGTCTTTCTCTGTTCTTTTATGACACTCCAGTTACGTTCGTATCACACACCTTGGTGTTTCCCAGGGGTCTCGGAGACTCTTCATTCCCTGCCCCCCGCTTTGTGCTCTTTGTAGCTCATTTAGAATAGTTTTTATCGCTGTAGCTTCGAGTTCACTGTTATCCCCTTTGAAGCGGCTAACCTGTCGTCAGTCCTACCTAACCTGTCGTCAGTCCTACCTAACCTGTCGTCAGTCCCACCGTTATGGGCTGACCTCGAGAGTGCCGTGTGCATATGTTACAGCCCTGAGCCCCAGTACCTCACCATGGGGCTGTATTTGGAGATAAGGCCTTCAAAGAGGTAATGAAGGTTAAGTAAGGTCCTATGGAGAGATGCAATGCATTCCGGCTGGAGCCCTATTAAGAACGGACACGTGGACACGCCGAGAGACACCGGGCATGTGTGTGCCCAGGACACGGCGAGGAGGTCGCAAGCCAAAGGGCAGGAGTCTCAGGAGAAACCGACCTGCGGACACCTTGACCTTGGACGTCCAGCCTGGAGAACGTGCGACCACGGCATGGGGTCTGAACGGCCTCGCCCGCGAGGTCTCGTCACGGCAGCCGAGCACCCCGAGGCGCCCAGGCGGCAGCTTCCCCGCTCCTTTCTGTGTCTTCCGTTTTTCTCATCACGGGTGTGTTTTCCTCGAAGAAAAGGTCGTGACGGCCGTTCTGGGATTCCTCGTCTGGCGATTCCGTCCTTGCTGTCATTTCTGGGTCTACGTCTCCCGACGTATTTTTTCTCGGTCGTATTTTCCTGCTTCTTGGCAGAGCAGTGATTTTTGATGGGACTCGGATGCTGGACACTGTGTTTTTACTTTCTTGTTCTCTGAATCTCATGTTCCGCTCGTTCTGGAATGCAGCTCCGTTGTCTGTGGTTTGCTTTGATCTTTGGGTGGCTCGTTTTTGAGCTCTGCTGGCGCACATCTGGACAAGCCTCGGCTCTAGAGCGCGTCCAGCCGGCCTGCGACAGCAGGGCCCGGGTGGGGTCTCCTCCGATGGCCCTAGACTCTCGCCTCTGGCTGCTCAGAACTCAGGTATCTGCCAGGCCTGTGGGGGCTCTGCAGCCATTCGGGTCCTAAGGCTCATTGTGTGGCATTTTGGGGTCTTACGCTTTACATGCGGGCCTCGTTTTTCCGTGAACGAAGGGGACCCTTTACAGATTTCTGAGCGTTTGGCCCGTGTGGCTCTCTCTTTTTTCTG